GATTTTAAAAGATGTTTAATTTAATTTATATATATAATTTAGAAAAAGCAATATTTTAATTTTTGAAAATACAAGATCGAACCGATCTCATATCTGCAATAGTTTAAATGATCGAGCACAACCGCAAGCAATATATCTACCTCGAAGAATAGATACACAACTTGTTGGTAATGCTTGATTAAACAAACTAAGGAATTTATGACATCTATTTTAGCCTGAGAACCTTTTATTTTGACCGACAAGTTCCCCTACCTAATATAAAAAATTAGATAGGATTTATATTACCTGAGTTCTTAAAGCTCCCTATAGAGGCAATCTCCTATAGTTAATTACCTCTCAAAAGATTGAAGTCACTTAAAAGAACTCTCGATGATGATCAGAGATATCTATCTTCATGAATTCAAAGTTTCGGGTTTACAAGATTGGACAACAAAAAGTCAAGAGGGGAAAGTGACCAAATGGTAACATTTATTTCTGGAGTCGAAGGAAAGAAAAGTATAGAGTGTCACGGATCCTAAGAAAAACCTCGGTGACTTTCCAAACTATCCTATTGTTTGGCTTCAATTTTAAGAAATGTTATTTGATGTTTCATTCTGTCAATTTTATTATTTAGGACTTATATTTGCATGACGCAACATACAAATGGCCTAAAAGATATGAAGGTTTACGTCGTATTGAACAACAACATCGGAACCTAAAGCATGTTATGACTTAAATTGCACAACCCGACTGTGCAAAAAGCAGACTACCTCGAAGTTTTATGGTTTGTCATTTAAACTAAGGAAAGATATGTCGTTGTAGATCGTCATCCTCCACTTGATGCTACTCCGTCGTGTTACCCATGAAGACATGCTCCAAGCTCTAAATTATAGCGACTCCAAGTTTAGTTTGTGTTGTATTTGCAAGTATAATTATTGTTGGGTCTCAAGGGCCCAGTGTACCTCCTAACATATGTTTTACTGTTTTCTACCTAAGAAGTTTAGCTAGTGTCTTAATGTAAATAATGCAATAAAAAGAACGACAAATTGCATGAAACTTAAACAAATTGCTCGAAAGTTTGGTATAAAAAAGCGAGTAAAACAAAACTTATATGTGACATTAAAAATGTCCTCAATTGCCAGGAGTATTTGAGTGTAAGGCTCAAGCTCAAATCCTAGAGCATTGTGTTTCACTGTAGATTAATTCATTGAGGGAATTTCACTACTTGATTTAATTAAAAGGAATTTATGAACCACATCTTCTTGTATCCTTATGTTTAGTGTTTTAATCAACTTATGGACTGAGGTTAAGTGTTTAATTTATCATTCATTTGAAAATTAGTTAGAGGAACTCTCACCTATAGTGTGCTTCTAAAGTCTAAGAAGCCTATGCCTCTAACATGTGCGTGAGGTGATTTAAGGTGTTTGCTTTCAATGAAGTGTTTTCTAACTAATCCTCAAATATTTTTTAAGTGTTTTCCAAATGATTAAATCAGAAATCCCCATTTTTGACTTAACCATTATAATAAAAACAAATCAATGTAGAAGGAGGCCAACCCACTTCTAAAAAGAAATTAACAAAGCAGAGGGGCAAAATCGCAAGTAAATCAGCCTAAAAGCATTTAAATTCTTTCAAAATAATAATCAAATCAACCCCCAAAAGGTGTTTAAAAGCCTCCGAAAATCAACACTTAAAAATGCCCAAATCAATGTATAAAGTCTCCAAAAAACTTCTCAAATTGACACAAACAGAGAGCAGAAAACAGCCATGAAACGTGGTCAAAACCGCAGTACAAATGGGACACCAAATAGTTTCAAACATTCCCAAAACCGCGGCGAGGCGAGCTGTCATTTCCAAATTCAACTTATAAGAACAAGTGAACTACTAACAACATTTCTCAAAAAGCTAAAGGATAAACTAGCTGCTCCAGTTAAACCAGTGAACTATGCACTAATTAAACTCCAGAATACTTTACAGCTCTTCATTTCCACCGAAGCAAATTATTCACAGGAAGGTTCTTTGGATAAATATTCCTTTGCAAGCACTTCTTATCATCAAAGTTCCCCTAAGCTAATTCAAATGATATGAACAGCAAAAGGCAAAGTAATTAAATATTACAAGGACTCGCTAATCCTGAAAATCCTTTATAGCCAAATATCAAAATTCTTCTCATGTGAGTTGTATGATAAGAAAATCTGAAACAAATTTAAATCCCACATACATCTGCAAGCATTAAAGTGGCATACATGTAAGATCTCCTGAATATTCACACCTACCTATACATCAATTTTTACATTTATGCCACAAAAATCTTTCATGTGTATATACCGTCCAAATCTTTCATATTGCAAAAGAAATAATACCATTTCATGCATAGGGTAGAGGGTGGCACATATATTAGAATTAAAGTTTCAGTATTAGAAATGTAAATATATAAGAATTGGGTGATGGGTACGTAAATAAAAAAGCATATATGTCACTCATTGAAAGACCTTGTCTGAAATTTACGGCTTAAGCATTTGCAATCTTCTGGAATTAAAACTGTATCACTACCAGCCTTATCCTTCCATTCGACAGCTAGCAAGGGGCAGCTCTTGGCCCTCAATACCAAAGAAAGTGTTGGATTCTTATGCTTTAGTGTTCTATTCCATTAATAACTAATCCCACAACCACTGCAACTTGAATTCACAACAACAGAAATCATATATCTGAAAACCACATAGTGCTCATACTACTTGGTAAGTTAGTATGAAGGCCATATATTGACAAACAAAGACTTCCTGCTTGACTCGTACAAACATCCTCCATCACGCATTCTTTATTACAACAGTGACACCAAAACTAAAAGAAAAAGAAGTCAATTTAATGTCTGTTAAAGATTTCGGCACTGCCTGCACAAGTTATAGCCCCTCCAAAGCCTTAATCCAAATATTAAGCGAAGAAGGGGAAGCAGGTGGGGGAGAACAAGAAGGATCAATGCAACGAAATCGTCAAGGTCTTCCCCCCACCAACTCTATGATCGATGATCAAATTAAGGCTTAAAAGCTAAAGGTTAAACCAAGCATGTACAGAAAGTAGATCCTTGTCATTGCATCAAACACATATAGTAAAGAATTTATTAAGAGATATATCATGAATCTACTAAAGAAGAGCGAAGGGAAAAGAGTTACCTCTTGATGCTGGTTCAAAGAACACGAACCACAACAAAATCGGCAGCACCTCCACCTATCAAAGCTTTCTCAAGCTTTCCCAAAACAGAACACAGAACCCTAAAAGACCTCAAGCAAACACAAGATGAACAAAGCAGGGTGAACAAAACAGAGAAAATCCAACCAAAGAGATTAGAGGAAATTTTGGCAGCACCTCCCCCTCTCCCGATTTTTTTTCCAACCTCAAAACCTTCCCCCAAGAGGGGTTTTATAGCCAAAGGAGGATGAGAGCTTGCGTTGGCTTACCGAGGGAGGGAACCGAATGCGACAAGCACGGGTAAGGTGGCGACAAGGAGCGCAGAGGCGTGGGAGGAGAAAACCGAAGCGCAACAGAGGGAGCAGTTGGAAGCTTTTCGCAGGGCACGGAGAAGGGGACCTCGAGGACAAAGCCGCACGAAGAAGAGAAGTTTGCTGGAGTGAACTCGGCCCTAGGGTCTCACCTAGGCTGCGATCGAAGAAGGGGAGAAGGGGCGGGCTCGACTAGGGCTCCCGATCAGGAGAAAAGGATCGGGTGCGTGAGTCGCGCCTGGGCCGCGAACGGGAGAAGGGGCGGACGGGTTAGCGAATTAGGGATTTAGGAATTTCAAAATAAGGATTTTTTTTTCTTTACTTAAAAAGTGTCAAATTTCGTGCAACTTATTCTTGTGCGGCGTCCTAGCAAAATGTGTGTCCTTCCTAGCTAAAATTAACGTTCCGGACGCGATGGCACAGTCCGTTTCGTCATCTAGGGTCATTCGAAGAACCTCGTCGAAGATCGGGGCTAAAACGCATCAAATTCGATTTTCATCAAAATTTTAATCCGCAATCAATTTTTTCAAAAATTTTATTTAAGTTTTCGACAAATAACAGTGCAAATGGTGTGAATTGTAGTGATCGAACGTGTCGACTCTCCGAATCGTGAAGCTTGTGCGCGCGAAGTTGGAAATTGTGCAAAAGACAAGCATAGGGCTTAATGACCCTATAAGAACTCCTTTTGGGTTTCCTCATGTTGGTTTCAACCCCCTTAGTGCTAGAGGCCGATACCACACATGCGAAACTCCAAAAGGGTAAAGAGGCAGGTTGGATTTCTAAATGAGGCGGGTCTCATTTCTAAGGATTTAAGATAGTCAAAGAGAAAACCATAAGACTAGACCCTAAATCCTAAGAGAAAAACTAGGTCTCACAAAAAATGAGGTCAACAGCACTCAACAATTAAAAACTTAAAATTTTTTATTCAAGCTAAAAGATGTGAATTACATGCCACAGACCAGTACTTAGAACCCTCTCATAACATAAGTCAGCATAAGAACAGATCTCAATCTTTTATACTAACCAAAATTTATATTTTAAATTCTCCAAAACAATCAACTCCATGCAATTTATAAATCCAAAAAACATGTGTAAAACAATGTTCCCATCTCTCTCAAGTTCAAGCACATGCAAAATACGTTTAAACACAGCCAGAGATTGAGGTGTTCACAAAAATCCCACTTGCACTTTAATTTTTTAAATAAACAAAGGATAAAGTTTGAAAGCAGAAAAAGCCTCACATCCCGCACAGGAAGAGCATGTCAAGCACATCCTGCAGTAGCAAAAAGCAGCAAGCCTAGCCAAACTGTACGTCATAGACATCCTTTTTTAAAATAAATAGTGCCAATGAATCACAACATTAAAAGTTCATCCAATTTATGCTTTGATTGTGAATTTGGAACAATTTATCTTAGATTTTTCACCTATGTTTAAATTTCTTCCTCTCCATTCCCTAACAAGACAACACAACCAACTCCAACTAAAGCAAATGTTACAACTACAGATAGCATTCCATTAGGTTACCTGCTTGCCAAGGTATAGAAGACCAAGAGCTACAGGAAGCAAGCGAGTAAGGGGTTCACCCAATTCAGTTTCACTGCGCTCCATTATTGCCAAAATGATTGTTTGAGCGATATCTTCATTGCAGGAACCAACATGGACAAGCCCCAATGTAATGGCAGAAAATACAAGGACCTCCAGGGGTGACTTTGAATCTCCCAGAATGCTAGTAAGGCGGACTCTTAGCTGGCAAAGAGGAAACAGATCAACAAGGGCAAAAATAATAAAAATAAATAAATATAATTTTATAGGAGATGCCAAGGAATTCTACGTCATCTTTGTTTGTCCCGGCATATGCAATGCCAAGACCCAAAATTGCCCCAATTCTGATAATTGTATCATCTTTTTCAATGAAATCGCCTAAAAGGGCTAATGCCTGCAAAGCATAGTTGATAAACAAGAAGCAATTGAAAATGGGTGCATATGGCAAAATAATGTTAATGTACGTTAAGATCCAAGAAAGAATATATTGCATTGAGCATAATGATAGTAATAGAAGACATTAGAGAGAATAAGTTATAAAAGAGCATCGCTCATTTGAAAACACCATACAGGATCACAATCATTTCTGATGCCACAGTTGACAATGCCAACACCAAGCAAAGCTCCCGCAACAACATGATTATCATTGCTGTGAAGAAACTTGTCGAGTTGTACTAGACCAGAGTCAACATCCCACAACAAAATCATCCCCTACAAGAGGTAACAAAAACTCAAGTTTCACATAAAATATTAAAATGTAGAAAACTAGTTTTAAAATACGAAAGAGCATATAATACCAAACTTGCAACTGCACTGGCTTTTCCATGATCCTTATTTCTGAACAGCCAACCACTTGGTCCACTTAAGGAATCAGAGGGGACAGTCATCAATTTATCCTGTGGAAATAATAAGATCATACAGCTGAAAATTAAAGTGAGCCATTCCAGCACAGTCGTGCATTATTCTATCAGTGATTACCTGTCCAAAACCTGCATTCACAAATGCATTCACAAAAGTAGCAGCCAGATTCTGCCGGGCAGAGTCAAGGCTGGAACTTGCACTTGCTCGTCCATCAATCAAGTGTGCCTTACAGAAATGAAAATGTATATCAATCAAATTTACAGCATTCCAAAGAATTAAACATGTGCTCATACGCATACATAGCAGGCATGCTATTTCCCGTATTTTACATCACATGTCGGAGCTTCTTAATAATAAGCATAAATGAATTTACATTCTACAGTGAAAACTTCCTTTATAACTAGTGCTCGACTTTCTTAAAGCATACAGAAAATACAAAACAGCTGAGCATGAAATTTCTTTAACCAAGCATTCAACCCTGCAACAACTGAAATAAGCGTATTCCAGCATTTCCTAGAGGACTTGAAGCTGAAAAACGTTGAATGTGTTCAATGACTTAAATATCATATATATTACAAAAGGACAGCTCTATGAGCTCATGCAGATGCACTCTTCCATGCCAAAAAAGAAAAATTTACATCTGTTTCAACTAACAGAGAACTACCCCAACATCTTATCAAGCAAATACCACAAAAATGTACGTGAAGATAGACAATTATTATACCTTATATATGTCTTCTGGAGATTTTGGTTCCATAACCTCAATATCACGAGCAAGAGTCAGATAGCCTTCACTTAATTTACCATTGTTTGCAATATCTTGCAAGGCCTCTTTTTCCTTTTCATCTGGAACCCATTCTTCATCCAGCTCCAGTGCTAAACCCTAAATTCACAACCGTGGAATCAAGCATTAAAAGGTATTAAAAGATAATACAAATAAATAAATAATAAAAAGCTGCCATAATGACGGCAATATATTTTTATATGTTGATGAGCACAATAAGGAATGACTGGCATTCACAATCATCCAACTGCCTACATCTCACCATTTCAAATTAAGCAAAATAAATATATTCCCAATGGCACACAGTGTAAAATGTTGCAATTAGAAAATTTTTTTAAGTATGAATAATGATTTTGTGCATACTTACATGACGTGCACAAATGTAAGAGAATTGCTTCTTCAGTAGGGGGTCATTTGTCGATGTATATATTTGTTTGACATACTGCACACGATGAAACCAAGTATGATGGAACAAGAAGACTAAAAAACCACGCTCTATCTATTCTACTATGAAAGGTAGGAGCACAAAAGAGCAAATGAATGGAGATATTAACGTTTTCTATTTTAATATTTTTATTTTTTTCAATTAATGGACATATTGACGTTAAACCTGAATATTGTCCAGCAGAAGTGCAATCCGAAGGGAGCTTGCAAGATCTTCAAACTTCATATAAATTGTATATGCTATATCTAGTGCCAAAACGTCATCTGGACTCGGTAGGTAACTGCAGGGTTAAAAAGTCAAGGAAATATACTTTCACATGAATACAAAATCTTCTGCGCATGCTAGATGATAAAATTTTATTAAATTGAGAAAGATATTAAATTTCATCAAAAAATCCACGCAGAGTTAGTTGGGGATTCACTGAATGCATTAATCCCTTTATAAGTCTTTATTAAATTCACAAAGACTGCATTGTTCCTATTTAGACTTTCTATCCCCGTTCATGATATTTTTTATTTTTTTTTTCAGGTCACTGGGATCATGTGTTTCTGTCCAAATGAAGGAACACGTAGCAAAATCTATGATAAACATTGGAAATGAAGAGTTTTATAATATGATAAAACATCTTCACGTGCAAGTCTCAAGTTATGAGAGATTTATACAGAAGTAATAAAGAAGCGTGACTCAAGACAATTTTGCATTTCTGCCAATGCACTAACCTGGAAGAACTGGTAAGGTATAAGCATGTTCTCTTGTAATTTGTAGAGTCAACATGTTCAACCAACAGATCAAGGTCTTCAACCTGGATTCAAAAAGAGAAATTGTTCAGTATCTATGCTTATGACTGTAGAAATTTTAAAGCATGCAATGTGAATTAAAGTATTTAGATGCCTCCATCAGAAGATCCACAGCTTCTGGCTCAGCATTGTGCTGCAAATAATTCGTAGAAAAGATCTAAATTAGTGCACAGGAAACAGGTAAGCAAGGCATGCATGCCATCAATATGTTGTGCTAACAGACTACCTTAAAAATAATATAAATGAAGTATACCTTCATGTGAAAAGCAACAATTTGTTGTACAAGCTCCATAAGGGCGTTTATGGGCAGGTCATCGTACTGCATTAAAAAAATGCAATGATTGTATCCATTGATTTAGGGATGAAATGGAAGAAAGATAAGTGTGAAGACTAAAAAACAGACTTAACCAACAATTTTATGAGTCAACAGGACGAGAACCTACATGGATATGACATTTATTAGTCTTAATATAGTTCTATGAGAATGAATTACATATTGAAGCACTATTTTCAATACTACAACGTAATGAAAGGGGAAAGAAATGTGTTTATCCTTTTTCATATTGCATTAATTACTGAATGATAAGTAGGAGATAACATTAATGCCAACCAAAAAAACGGCATTCAATCTACGAGAGAAAAGCATGCAGAGGCTTCAATTCTTTAATAATTACATAAAATAAAGGCATTAAATTTTCAATTTAAGCTGACCGTGGAAGTTAAAGAGGTGAAACAAAGGTTATAATACCTATAAACGTTGACTCTCAAAAGACAACAAACTTTCAAAAATAATTATTTCATATGCTTCAAAATTAATGACAGCTAAATAATGACAAGTCTAGTTGAACTGGAAACTTGCAAACTGCTCTATAACTTATTCATTTAAATTTCCAATAACACAAACATAAAGGAAGAAATATACAACAACCAGAAAGGCTTCAAGACTCAAGATGTTAAGGGTCTATTTGGGACAGCTTTCTCTCTGCTATGCGTTTCAAACTGCCACCACAGCTCAATTTGGGGAACTTTCTTTTCTTTTCTTTTTTTTTGCAGTTTTCTAAAATTTTTTTGTGGAGGAAAACTATTTTGTTCAACCTGACCTGTTTATAGTACTATAAGAAGGTTGTTGTCTGGTTTTTGGAAAAAAAACATATATTTTAATTCCCACCGCAGCTTTCTAAGATGTTATTTTCTCTATCACAGCTTTACAACTACTTTTTAAAAAAACTACAGCCACCCAAATTGACCCTAAATGAGTTGAGCTATTTGAAAATGAAAATGGTTGAACCGTGAAGTAATCTCAATTCATCATTTCAAGCCCAAACAAAGGATTTGTTTGGGTGGTTGTAGCTTTTTAAAGTTGTAAAGCTGTGGTTAAGACAATAACTTCTTAAAAAGTTACGGTGGGAATTAAAAATTTATATTTTTTTCCAAGAAATCAAATAGAAATTTTCTTACATTCACAACCTTTTTAACGGGTCGGATTGAAAAAAAAGCTTCCCGACACAGAAATTTTAGAAATAATCAAGAAAGCAATTCTCCAAACAGAGTTATGATTGTGGTCGGAAACACAAGGAGACATGAAGCTGTCCAAAACAGTACCTAACTCCAAAATGCAAATTACAACCAGCAAGAAGAACAAGTTAAAGAAGAATCAGAAAGATGATGAAAAAATAAAAAATGACTCGCAACCCTCAGCTATCATGCTTTTATAAGTTCAGGCCTACCTGGCGTTTTGCAAACTCTTGTGAAATTTCTCCAGCAAGGTTCCTATTCACCAATCAAAAATTCAGAAAGAAAATGAATAACAGTTAGCTACTGCAACATAAAACCAAGGGAAATTTTGTGCATTTAATAGAAGAAAATGTGTAAGAATATCGAGTTATCATTAAAAAGGCTCTATCAGTCCAACTTTTTTTGTTAAGCCAGGAATATTACCATTAAAAATTAAATAAAGAGTTATAAAATAATGATGGAGTTGGTGTTCAAAGAAAATGCGAGAATGTGGAATCTAATGGTGGCAATTGTTGAAATCACGAGCCTTAGTGTACATCAAGCATGATGACTAGCTTATCAGTGACTTAATGATAACAAATCTCACATGTTGTCATTTAATGGTTTGCAAAGTGATTTACAAGCTAAATGATTGAGTAGGAACCATAGTGATGATGACCTTGTGCATTAGGGATGTTTGGAGATTTTGCACCTTAAAGTGAAGTTCAAGATGAAAAATTCATAGACACAAGAGTGCAAATGAAGATTCAAGGACAGATAGGTGAAGAAGAATAGCATAGTATATTTGTTTATAAGCTCAAGTGTTCTCATTGAGTGTGGTTTATACTAGAAACTCAAAGATGAACACATAAATTAAATTTGATCAACATCATTTATTTCCAAATATATATTTTTATACAAAAAAAGTAATTAAATTAATTAGGTCTTAAATTAGAACACTTGTTACATTATTATATTGTTATGTACGTGGCCTATTTCAATGTTCACTATTGACTCCAAGGAATTTATGGGTCTCCACAAAATGTACAAGTTGTTTATAGGCTTCTCAAGCATCCTCATTCTTTGATATCATGGTCATGATCTCAATGATACATGCAATCCTTTTTGGAAGCACACAAGGGACCACTAGCTTTCGTTGGAGCAAGCCTCTTGAATAAATTTTTTTTTTGAATGGTCTCTACTATTTCAGTCATTAAATCTCCCGAAGGAGTTGTGATAAATATGAGATGACTTGGAAATGGCGCCTCTTCTCCATTCTTCGATTGAACCATCTCCAAACAAACTCACACTCTGGAAAGACGATCTGGCTCCTTTCAAATTTCTTCTAAACTCCTCATTTGACGAGGCGATCTCTATTTTCTTGTTGCTTTTTATGAAAGTCTTTCCTTATTCGGTGTAGTTGCTTCTTATTTATCACCCCGAATGAGCTTATTAAAACATTATACTAATCAGACATATGATTGTTCGCAAGCTCTAACAACTGGGTCAAGGTTTCGGGAAGTTGCATCCCTAAATTATAATCGAATGTACCTTCTGTTGGCCAGGAGCCAAAGCAGCATGAACGACTAATGGCTCCAAATCTCTCACATCTAACATCTCCCTCTGGAAACGGGTAACAAAACACCTCAATGACTCGTTTGGCTCCTAATGAATTCACACTAAGGCTACAAACTCTTCCACGGCTTTTGGGCACTTACAAATTGGGCAATGAAGATACACTTGAATTATTTGAAGGAAGAGATATCTCATGGTAGCAAGTGATTGAACCAGCAAAGGGTTTATTCCTTCAAAACTATAAAAAAAAATACGTCCTTCCAGGCATTTGTGATCCTCAATAGGCAAACAACTGATTTGAACGGGGTTATGTGATCAGATGGATCATATCTACCTTTATAAGACTTTAAGGACAAAATATTGAACTTTTTTATGCTTTGACCTCCATTAGAGTTGTCAAAATGGCTCGTTGTTCGCGAACAGTTCGTGTTCGACTTGGTAAGAAGCTCATGTTGATTTGTTCACTAAGTTAACAAAACAAGCACGAATAATTTTTTGCACTCGATATATACACAGCCGAGCACAAACAAAAATTTGATCATGCTCAATTCGTACTCGGCTCGTTTTGGCTCAAATACTACTCATCAATTATATATATAATTGATGAGTAGTATTTTTTAAAAATCTAATTGACTACAATGCTACAAAGATTTATAACCAATTAAAATTATTAATTAAAAAAATTGGATAAACATATATTAATAACATTTAAATGATATTTTTAATATAAATAATAAGATTTAAATCTTGCATCAACCCTTAATGTTATACAGCTGTGTGACTAGGGTTAAACGATTTTTTGTTCACAAACAGCTCGTGTTCGGCCTGTTAAGCAAACGAATCAAACACGAACACATTTTTATTGTTCGAAGTATAAACGAACTGAACACGAACAATAGTATTTTTAAACAAGTTGAACAAGAGTTGAGTCTGGGCTCGCTTGTGTTCAGCTTGTTTAAACGGCTAGCCTCCATGGTTTCCTTGGATAGTGCACTCTCCAATGGTTGCTTTCATTTCTCCTATACTTTGAAAGAAGAAAAATCTTCACCATCAAAATGATAAGTTATCATCATTGACGAGTGTAGTCAATGTAAATCTTCTTCTCCAACCTACCAATACTAAAGAACTATTTGACATTTGGACTCTTTTAGTAACCCTAGGTAAGTGCTTCGGTGCCTCACCAATCATCTAGATCAATGGCTGAAAAAAAATGTTCCCCTGAAGGTACCACTCCTTATTAAAAAGTACAAATCGACTTCAAGGATAGTTATATAATTAGCTAGACAAATAAATAAAGAGTACTTAGTTTTGTAACGTGTTATGCGACCAAGCATTGTCTGACTTATAAAGCGTATTAACGAGATAAGTGGTTGAATTGCTTTAACAGATTGGAAATCGACCTAAAGGCTCGGCCAAGTTGACATGAGTTGACTTGACTCCCTAACTTAAGAGATTGCCTCAACGAATTGTTCTAATGAAGTTGGTCTAGCCAATGACATGTTGAGCGAGTTTAATGAGTTGGCTCAGTGAGTTGGTCTGCTAAACTGACCTATCAAGTCAGATTGTCGAGCTCCTTCGATTGGCTACAATACCAACAATTTGATGTGGGTGCCCTCCATAATACCATGTACAAGGAATTTTACCATACATATTGGTAAGTGAGTTCACACTTTATATTGATCAAGAAGTTGAGGCTCCTGATTAGTCAAAACAAGCTAAAGAGTAACATGCCTCCCGGGTGAAGTTCCTGTTTTCATTTCATTTTATGCTCAGGCACAAAATATGTAACAAGAATAAGGTAGACGAAGCCCTGAGCCCTTCTTGGTAACCACTACACACTTGAATGTCATTAGCTTTGAAATATTGAGGGATGTGTATACCACTAATAAGAATTTTCAAGAGATTTGGTTTTCTCATTAGGATAGATCGTATGAGCAATTCCACGGATACTAATTGTGTTATCAAAATAAACTATGCATTATTAAAAATTCAGTCATAAGCTATTTTCCAGAAGTACCACAATAAAAGAATAATTATTTTATCAAAATAAACTATGCATTATTAAAAATTCAGTCATAAGCTATTTTCCAGAAGTACCACAATAAAAGAATAGTTGGAAATTTTTGAAGAGACAATACTCTTTCTTTAGCGAAAGAGAACTTATATTGGCCTAAATTGGTACGAAATGTGAAAAGGCATATTCGATAGTATAGAATTTGTCATGTAACCAAGACCAGATCGCAATATATAGATCTATACACCCCCCTTCTTGCACCAAAGTCACATCACGGTGGATCGATTTGAGCATAGATTTCATTGTGGGCCTCCCTTAAACCCAACAAAATAAGGATTCAATTATGGTGCATATTGACTGTTTTTCCAAGATGGCACATTTGTATCCTGTCACAATATGATGGGTGTTTCACATATTATAGATTTATATTTTAGGGAGATAATCCTTCCAGTGTACCTCAGACCATCATTTGTGATGGAGATGTGAAATTTTTAAGTCATTTTTGGAGAATTTTACAGGGTAATTTGTGTATCAAATTATAATCTTGTTCAGCAGCGCACCCCAAACAAATGGGCAGACAATAAATCAAAGTTTGAGAAACCACTTTTGGTGCTTTGTGTAAGCAAAAATATTAGGCAATGGTACTTGATTCTTCCTCAAGTTATGCATCAAATTATACTTCAATTCAGTTGCACACCCCAGACAAATGAGCAAATGAAAATGATAAATTAGAGTTTGAAAAACCTTCTTTGGCCTAAGCAAGAATATTAAGCAATGGGACTTGAATATTTTCCGCGTCAGTTTTGCTTACAGCCAGTTCGCTAGAATTAATGATTGTACTTTTGACTATTGAGCTTAGGACTGATGCAAAGGCTAAAGTTAAAGAGATTCAGACCCTACATCAAGTAAGGAAGGCAATTATAAAAAAAAAAATCAAGTATCAAAAGTAAGCTAACAAACCCAAAAAAAAATTGATTTTCTAATATTGTGACGTGTGACGATGGATTAGGCTAAAAAATGAGATGTTTCCTACATAGTCATTTAAAAAGTTCAAGCCTAAAGTCGATGATTCATTTAGGATTGTTAAGAAGATTAATGATATTGCACATAAGATTAAACTTCCAACATTGTTGACTTTTCATTATATTATAAAGGATATAGGAGATTTCAATAAGGAGAGCAAACCCTCTCCTACACGGGAGAATAATGTAGGCATCCGCTTGTGACTCCGCCACAAGGTGAACCCCAAAAATGTGAAGCGGCCCAAGAGAGATAGGTTCAAGCTATTCCAACTCCCATGGGCTAGCTAAGGCCCCAAGGGGATCCTATTTACCTTATTTAAATTATTTTTATGGTTAGTTTTGCTTTGAGGCATAAATATATTATTAATTCTTTATTTTAGCACTTTTTTTGGATTTTTGATTTATGCAATAAGATTGTTTTCTCTAGTTCTTCCTCACAAGCATGCTATATCTTTTATCTTTCTTAGGTGATGTATCTATAGTCAGATTGGATCAAAATGAAGATCTCTCTTGAACAACCGAAAACCTCTTAAACTATTGGTTTCACAAAAAACCTATAATTTCTCGATTCTAGCTTGCTATCCAACCACCGAAACCACCGAGAACCTTGATTTCTCAACTGCGAAGCAGCCCGATTTCTCAGATGGCATCAACTTTTCACCCTC